TTTTGGAAGAGGCATTCCCAGCTGCTGAGGGAGTTGATTCCTCTTTCCCTTTTAAAGACTGGGCCTGCCCTGTGGTAGGCTGGGCCATGGCAGGATATTTCCAGGGTCTAGAGAGGACAGAAGGGCCCTGACTTGAGCAAGTCAGGGCCAGGGCCCCTGACTGGACAAAGCCTCACCCTTTGTAAGGAACCTCAGGTACCTAAACCAATATGACTCCCCCATGGGAAGTCTAGTCTGCTTAGAGGTGTCTCTGCAGGAGTCAGGGTGTGGGGATGTGGATGCAGCACAGGAAGCAGTGCTGCAGGGAGGGCTCTGAGGGGAGCTTAGTTCCTCACCCATTCTCTGCTCACCTGCCCCAGGTTCCTCAGTCTCAAGAAATTCAAAGACAAATCTGTGGTCCTCAGATAGAGCATGGAAACCCCATCTTACCTCAGATCCTTCTCCAGCCTGTTTTATTTATCCACTTAAACCCAGGTCAGTAAAGTCTGCCCTCCCTCCCACAATCACATTTTAACCTGACCGCCAATGGCACTGTCACTGTGGCATCTGATCTCTGTCCCTTCCTCGGCAGCCCAGACCTGATACTCTGTATCCTTGGTGGGCATCAAATTTTCCCAGGCGTATTTTTGTAGAACCAGAAGTATCTTCCCACGGGCAAAGAGCAGAGGAAAAGGGAGCCATGAAACTGAGTCAGAGGGTGGATGTCTATATTGGTCAAAGAAGGGATTAAGTTTCATGAAGCAGGTACCTACAGCTAGAGAGAGGGGTGTCATGGGCAACTGGAAAATGTCGTGGACAGACTGGGAGGGACATAATGTTTGGGAGAGTGGTTTCCAAGCTAAAACAAATAACAAAAACACAAAACCTTCCAGAAATGGATCATGGGATCATGAAACAAGAGTTTTGTCTGAGCATCTGTCAGTGAATGGATTGAAAAATAGCCATAGCTTATTTCCTTCCCCTTGACTTACATGTCCCCTAGGGTGCAGGGAACACAGGTGCTGTGCTACCATTGCATGCATTAGACTTAGATAACATAAATGACTTCCCATGTGTCTAGGTTGATGTGGGGACATTTCATCCTGAAAAAAGGACTTTGTGAGGCCATGACAAAATGTTTCCAGGACTAGAGGAGCCAGTATGGCCCTGTGGTAAGCAGGGCAGGGCCAGGTCCCATGACTAGGTAAAACCTCACACTTCAGAAGGAAGCTCAGGTTCCTAAACCAATAAGACTCCCCCGTGGGAAAGTCTAGTCTGTGCTTGGATGTGCCTCATCTCTGCAGGAGTCAGGATGTGGGGATGTGAGTGAGGCAGGATGTTTAGTCAGATGAGGTTTGGCTCAAATCCTAGCTCTCTTATTTACTACCTGTGTGACTGGTAGTATGTTAACATCTCAGAAACCAAATTCTTTCATGAATCATACAGGAATGTTAGTGAACCCACAAAACTGTTAGGAAATCATTGTTCAGTGTATGACAAATCCCATAACAGTGCCTGATTTGGAGTTCAGAAAATGCTACAGCATCTTAACCCCTCATCCTTGCCCCTACCTCACTATAATCTCAGTAACACTGGCAATTGCCTCTCACATGCCCCATTTGTGCCCTGCAGGTACAGAGCCTGGTGAAACCAGGAAATGGAGCTGGATCCTGCCCTGCCTGCTGTCAATCAGACTGTGCTAGTCTCTGCCCCTGGACCCTTTGTCCTGCTGAGGGTGTCGGGACTGGAGGCCTTGCATGCATGGCTGTCTGTGCCTGGGTGCCTGCTGTACATGGCAGCTTTGGTAGGGAATGCCCTTCTACTGGGACTGGTGGCAGTGGACAAGGCACTCCGGGCTCCCATGTACCAACTGCTGGGGCTTCTGGCAGCTGCTGACTTGATTCTGGCCACATCCACAGTGCCCAAAGCCCTGGCTGTGCTCTGGGGTTTGTCAGGTGAGATCTCCTTTGGGGCCTGTCTAGCTCAGCTCTTTGTTGCCCATGTGGCCTTCATTGCTGAATCCTCAGTGTTGCTGGCCATGGCTGTGGACCGCTATGTGGCCATTTGCCAGCCTCTGCGCTATGGGGCCTTGCTGACCCAGCGTGTGGTAGGCATAGTGGCTATAGCTGCAGTGGCTCACGGTTCCTGTGTCATGGTGCCTCCTGTGGTTCTGCTTCAAAGACTGCCTTACTGTGGGCAGCGGGCCCTGCCTCACACCTACTGTGAGCATATGGGTGTGGCTCGCCTGGCATGTGGTGACACACGCCCCAACATCTGGTATGGACTGGCCACCACACTGCTCTCCCCGTGCCTGGACCTAGGGCTCATAGGTGCCTCCTATGTCCTTATTCTCCGTGCTGTCTGCCGCCTGCCATCCCATGGTGCCCGCTACAAGGCCCTGGGTACCTGTGGGGCGCATGCCAGTGTCATTGTTCTTTTCTACACACCTGCCTTCTTCTCTTTCCTGGCTCACCGTTTTGGCCACCACACAGTGCCTGGCCACATCCACATCCTACTTGCTAATCTCTATGTGGTGGTTCCCCCAGCCCTTAACCCTGTAGTCTATGGAGTACGGACCCAGCAGATTGCTCAGAGGCTTAGGCACTTGCTTCAGCTCTTCTGGGCAGGGGCAGTGAGGAAGGTGGACCCCGAGAGGGTATCCCCACAGGAATGAAGGTGCTCTCTCAGATGGCCAAACAGTGTGTCCTCAGATGGCCAAACAGTGCTACAGGACTCATCTCTGACCAAGGCGTCTCCACCTTCTGCCCCTAGGTGGCCCTTTACTTGTGCCAACCCATTACCCCATTTTCACCTCCCAGGCACGAGTACACTGGACTAACCTCTGCAGGCTTGGCTCTACCTGCAGTCTACTCCCACTTTTTATGACTCTATTCACCTCCATAGATAGATCCCAAACATATAGAAGAAGTCAGGCCTGAACTGTGACAGACACGGAAGCTCAGCCTGTGGTGGAGATCTTGCTTTTCTCCATCATTCTACCCAAACAGAGCCAGAATAGTGCGAAGCAGTTCAAGTGGGGCCTTTGTACAGTGTGTGGAACTAAATGGGAATTCCATGCTTGCTGATGGAATGAAGATGAGAGGGGCTGGAGAAATGGTACAATCTGAATAAAATGGAACACAAAAAAACTAACTTGGTTTCTGACCTGATTGTTACCTAGGGCTCTGTATATCTGGGAAGAGAGTAGACACTACTGTGGCTATCTCCCTAAGCTGTCTCCCATCTTTGATCAGAGACTGAGGCTATTCCTGTTTTGTGCCACTGACTAGTTGTAGTTGGTAATAAATGGGAAGATGACTCCGACACCTGATGTCATGCTCCATGCTCTATCTATTCTCCTACTTTTCCTTGCCACCATCTCTTGCTCCATAAGGTGCCACAGATATAGTGACCCCTGCCTGGACACGGATGGACAGGTTTCCTACTCTGTACATTTTAGGTTTTCCAACCCACTGTCTGTCTCCCTGGGCTAGAAGAATTGATGGAAAATGAATCTCTGGCCTTGGGCTGGGATTCAGAGGATGAGAATCTGTAAAGCAAGATGGAAATATCTCTCACCAAGGATTTCCAAGAAGAGCCCTGAGTCTGTCTTCCTGTGGTCTTATATTCACCTATGTTTTTCAATTCTTTCCCAGAAGGGGAAGTATGGGATCCATATGCCTTTTTTTTTTCCTACTAATCATATGCCAGGGAGGTAATCTCAAATGATGATGTGGATAAGCAGAGGACATTTGTGCTAGGTGGCTATAGTATCTGAAGTTGGGGTTACTATGAAAAGAAGAGAAGCAGCAAACAGCATAGCAGAGCTATAGAAACTATATTCCCCAACAGAAAACAGGGATGAGCTAGGTGCAGTGGCCTGTAATCCTAGTGGCTCAGGAGGTGAGGCAGGAGAATTGCGAGTTCAAAACCACCCTCATCAAATTAGCAAGATCCTAAGCAACTTAGTGAGACCCTGTCTCTAAGTTAAAAAGAAAATTATATATATAAGACTGGTGATGTGGCTCAGTGGTTAAAAGCCTCTGAATATAATCCCCAGTACCATAAAAAAGAAAGAAAGAAAAAAGAAAAGAAAACTGGGATGATATACATACACTCTTCATAGGAAATAACTACTTTCATAGGAAATCTGGCATCCCCACTGCACGTCTCAGTGCCAAAGAGGTATTCATGTGAGATGGTAGAGGATGAGAGAGTAATTTAGGGCGATCACCACTAAGAAAACTGACCCATGATACCTTGTCCAGGTGTTAGGAGCCAAACTCTTGCTTTTCTTTAGAGATATCCAGAGGACTTGGAGGCCAGATGACTTGAGGATCAATAACTTCCTGCAGCAGATTAGAAAATATTTTGGGGATTTTCTTGGAGGACAGACAGTAGAGGCTGAAAGCATCAAGACTAAGGGAACTAGGGGAGTATCTGAATAATGAAGTGGGATGGAAAATTTAGAGTACCTAGGAGAATGGAGGAGGCAAATTGCTAGAGGTGAGGGAGGGTATATAATAGAGCATTCCAGCACAGCATTGCTGAAGCAACCCCTCCCACCCCAGGTCTTCCTTTGGCCCTCCACTTTGGCACTGATACAAGGGCACAAAGTTAAGTAAATGGCTTTTGTCCTCAAGATTGAACAGGTAGAGTTGCATTTCCTTTTAGAGAGTCTTTCCTTCCTTAAAGTTGAGGGAAAGATCATAATCCCTCCTGAAAAGGACCCATGCCAGGCACCCCCCAGGATGTCTCAGGTTTTTCTTAATCTGTTTGGAGAAGAGGGCCTGGCAGGGTGGGAACAGAGCTCAGCCAGGGGATGAACAAGGAAGGCCCCATTTGTAGTGGGAATCCTATTTCCTCTCATGTTTGGAGGAGGTACCAGTCTGTCATAATCCTCTTCTCAACCAATCCAGCCTCCCTGTATCTTCTTAATGCTCAGCACTTTCAGATGTCGAAATCTTTGTCCCCTCCTCCTGAGGTTTTTCATTTTCACTGGTGATAAATCCGAGGGGAGCCCCAAGGACTTACTGCACTTCTGCAGGAGGAGCAAGAATGCAGCCTGTCCTAACTCTTCTGGCCACTTTACTGCTGCTGCCCCTAGTGCTCCTAGGACAGCCTCAGGTACAGGCAGAGGGTGGAGGGATCTCAAGCAGGTAGGGAGAGGGTTCTGTACTTTGGGCTGGCTTCCTTCTCTATTGTGATTCTGCTCAAGAATCCCTTAATCCTTGGAGAGAGTGAAAGTAGAGAGAATTAGGGGGAAAAAGGAGGATGGGACATCATTTTGTTTTGATTTTCCCGTGGCTTGTATGGGCATAGGATGTGAGAGAGAAGAGAATGGCAAAGGAAATAGAGAACTAACATGCCAAATTATGAGGCTATCTGACATGCCAAATTATGAGGCTTCATTCTCTACAAACCTGTCACCTTCTTCCTGTGCTAAGGGTACTGGAGCTAATGGTGGCTAGATCAGGTATAGCAAACTATGCAATATTTGTTTCATTATCCCAACAAAGCTCAACTATTGGGTTGGAATTTGCAAGGTGAATATATAACCAGAGTAGGTTATTGTTTATAGGACCAGAAAAGCTATGTGCGGGTCTTCTCTGAGAAGTATAGAGGCCACATATTTAATTCTAGAAGATTTGGTTAGAAACCCCAGCTAGTGCCACAGGTCTAATTTAAAAATTGGGAAGGAGTCTTTAATCTAGTGCTTGCTCATCCAGTTTCAAAATGGGTGTGAAAAATTGGACCTTGAGAATTATAATAAAATAAGGACTCTATCATATGCAGGTAAGCACTATTCCAAGTGTTTCACAAAAATTTTATCTATCTATCTATCAAACATTCTTAAAGTAAAACTATAAGACAAATGACATAATTTCTACCATTGTACACCCCAAAACACTGGGACCTAAAAAATAAGTAGCCAACCCAACATCAAGAGCTAAAATTAGAATTTAGGAATTCTGGTTATAGAATTAATGGGTTTGGGTTTTGATTTGCATTTCTCTGACTGCTAGAGATGGTGAGCATTTTTTCATGTACTTGTTGATTGATTGTATGTCGTCCTCTGAGAAGTGTCTGTTCAGGTCTTTGGCCCATTTGTTGATTGGGCTATTTGTTATATTATTGTTTAATTTTTTGAGTTCTTTGTATACTCTGGATATTAGGGCTCTATCTGAAGTGTGAGGAGTAAAAATTTGTTCCCATGATGTAGGCTCCCTATTTACCTCTCTTATTGTTTCTCTTGCTGAGAAAAAACTTTTTAGTTTGAGTAAGTCCCATTTGTTGATTCTAGTTATTAACTCTTGTGCTATGGGTGTCCTATTAAGGAATTTGGAGCCCGACCCCACAATATGTAGATCGGGGCCAACTTTTTCTTCTATCAGGTGCAGAGTCTCTGATTTGATATCAAGTTCTTTGATCCATTTTGAGTTAACTTTTGTGCATGGCGAGAGAAAGGGATTCAGTTTCATTTTGTTGCATATGGATTTCCAGTTTTCCCAGCACCATTTGTTGAAGATGCTATCCTTCCTCCATTGCATGCTTTTAGCCCCTTTATCAAATATAAGAAAGTTGTAATTTTGTGGATTGGTCTCTGTGTCCTCTAGATACCATCTCACTCCAGTAAGATTAGCAGCCATTATGAAGGCAAACAACAACAAGTGCTGGCGAGGATGTGGGGAAAAGGGTACTCTTGTACATTGCTGGTGGGACTGCAAATTGGTACGGCCAATTTGGAAAGCAGTATGGAGATTCCTGGGAAAGCTGGGAATGGAACCACCATTTGACCCAGCTATTGCCCTTCTTGGACTATTCCCTGAAGACCTTAAAAGAGCGTACTACAGAGACACTGCCACAACGATGTTCATAGCAGCATAATTCACAATAGCTAGACTGTGGAACCAACCCAGATGCCCTTCAATAGATGAATGGATTAAAAAATATGGCATTTATACATAATGGAGTATTACGCAGCACTAAAAAATGACAAAATCATAGAATTTGCAGGGAAATGGATGGCATTAGAGCAGATTATGCTAAGTGAAGCTAGCCAATCCCTAAAAAACAAATGCCAAATGTCTTCTTTGATATAAGGAGAGCAACTAAGAACAGAGCAGGGAGGAAGAGCAGGAGGAAAAGATCAACTTTAAACAGAGACATGAGGTGGGAGGGAAAGGGAGAGAAAAGGGAAATTGCATGGAAATGGAAAGAGAACCTCATTGATATACAAAATTACATATAAGAGGATGTGAGGGGAAAGGGAAAAAAAGGGAGAGAAATGAATTACAGCAGATGGGGTAGAGAGAGAAGATGGGAGGGAAGGGGAGGGGGGATAGTAGAGGATAGGAAAGGTAGCAGAATACAACAGTTACTAATATGGCATTATGTAAAAATGTGGATGTGTAATTGATGTGATTCTGCAATCTGTATTTGGGGTAAAAATGGGAGTTCATAACCCACTTGAATCGAATGTATGAAATATGATATGTCAAGAGTTTTGTAATGTTTTGAATAACCAATAAAAAAAAAGAAAAAAAAAGTGAAACTAAAAAAAAAAAGAATTAATGGGTTTGGGATTTATGTGAGTATGAAAGTGATATGAGAGGCAAGAAGACTTCCAAATAATGCATATCTTAGCCCTAGAACATTCTTCTTTGTTCTACTGATCTGAGACAAGGGATCTGCCTCCCACCCTCACTCTTTTGGCCTGTACTACATACTCACCTCACCATAGCTCAGAGCTCTTTAGCTTCCCTAGGTGTAAGAGCACAGGATCTCGAATAAACATGAAACCTAAGGGCAGATTGCATCCTCAATACTTATTAATCATGTGGCTTCATAAGGTATTTTTAAAGTCTCAGACTCCTCTCATTTTTCAAATACAAAATATGTTTGCAGTTCACTTCATGTCACATTTCTGTGAATGTTAATTGAGAATAATAGTCAAGAATATGATGATTCATGGTGCTATTACTGATGATTCCCTTCGTTGATGATTAGGAACTCTCTTTACCTGGTGTCTTTAAGACAAGGTGAAGTTGTGGGAAGTGGTCAAATCCCTAGAGCGGCGATATTTTGAGACAGGATTAAGCTCCTTAAGCCTCTCCCCCTAACATTTCTCTGAAAGCTAGCTTTGCTGTCTTGTATACAGCCTTAAGGAAAATTGACTTCCAGCTATGCAAACTGCAGCTAGATCCAGCCAGTACGGAGGTAGGGTGAGGATGGCTCAACCAATAGGAGCTAGAAGAGTACTGAAGCTTCAATTATGGGAAATTAAAAGATGAAGACTAGGCCAGGTGTGGTGACTCAGACCTATTATCTCAGCTACTTGAGAAACTGTGGAGGATCACAAATTCAAGGCCAGCCTGGGAAAGTTAATGAGATCCTTTCTCATAAATAAATAAACAAACAATTAAATAAATAAATGTCAGGGATGATATAGTTTAGTGATAGGGCACCCCTGGGTTCAACCTCAGTCCCCCCCCAAAATACTCAAACCCCTGATAGAGGTATATCCATAAGTCAAGAAGAACCCCCCAAGTGAAGAGAGAACTCTTCTCTGGCACTCCATAGCAGGTTCAGTTTCTTCTCCTGCCTCAGGTTTATAAACAGCATGTTGTAGTACAATATACTTCATTCCACTTAGTGTGCCCATGCCTATGCTTTTGCAGCTGGTGAGAAATTTGTCAAACTCTATGAATGAGAGTGGCACATGCCATTGTACGGTTCACCTGCCCAACAGCTCGGTCCTTCTGCAGCAGCTGGAGCAACTACAAAGTATGGCAAAGGAGCTCATTGGCGAGTACGAACAGCAGCTGCTCTGGGTGAGTGCTGAAGCTGTGTGCCTGGGATGGAGCTTGGACTTATCCAAACACAGCCTCCTTTGGATCCAGCATGGGGTTGCGTCCTGGCAGTAGAGAAGAAACTGGAAGAAACACAGTCCTTATCTTTGAAATGAATCCTTAGATTAAATGTAAAATTAGGAACTTTTCTTGAGATTTCCCGACAGCAGAAACAGTATAGAAAGGTTTATGTAGGGGTGCTTCTTACATCAATGAGAGAATTAATACATATGGGTACCTGGAAGATGAGCAGGGGAAAATCTGGGCACAAGTATAGACTAGTCAAAGGTGTCAAGTGAAATAAGCAATGCAAAGGAACCAGGGACAAGTTGAGTTGAAGAGTTAAAATGAGAACACTGGGTGGAGGGACTTTTTGGGTTGGACTGGCAAGCTTAGGGTTGTTTTTATAACAAGGATGAGTGAACAGAAGTGCTGTGTCAGCCGTGTGATATGGTCAGTTACTTAGTGTATCTTCAGTTGTTGAGTTTCTGGGGAAGCTTGAGAGACTTAGAGTTAAGCTGGTCTGAATTTAATTCTCAGCACTGCTGCTTAAGCTAAGTGATCTTGGAGAAATGGACTTTTTTCATCATTTTTAAAATGAGGATAATATGTGAGAACATTATATGGACTGATGAATATTTGTTGGATACAAGAAAGGCTAAATGAATAGATGAAGGAGCCCTTCAATATGTCAGTCTGATTAGGAAGGTAGGCACAACTCACTGAGAGTTTGAAGTCAGTACATGCGGATATGTGGTGTGGAATCAATTGGGTAGAAGCTCATAGGAAGTAGAGATAAATGTGGGTTGAACCAGTCATTGAAGAATCCAGTTGTATCTTATCTCAGAAGGATTAGCCTTAGTGATAATAATGCTCCTGAAGTCCTATAAACATTTGGTAGCATATTAAATACATCAATATGCCTTTGCTCTTTGAATCTTCTGAAAATTCTAGTTAAGTCCTACTGCCCAGTGTTAAGAAATAAGATATTCAAAACTTGAATAATTTAAGGAACTTTCCAGAGTGATCTTCTGAATACAGCTTCAGAACTGTCCTGTTACAGTATACCTGCATCTCAAAGGCAGGTGAAAGGCAGTGGAGTCTAGGTACAGAAAAATGTCCATAAGAAGAATACAGTAATATCTTATCATTGGTTAAATGCCTGCCATGAGATACTGTACTATTGTTTTTCCTTTGCATTATTCCAATGCCTTCCATCAATCAACGAAGTAGATTCTTTTGTTGTTTCTTTTACAGATATAAGTAATAAGCTAGGGGCAGAGGGTGTAGCTCAGTGACACAGCACTTGTCTATTATGTGTGAAGCCCCAGGTAGAATCCCCAGCACTGCAAAAACAAACAAAAAAAGAAAATTTATAATTTGTGTCAACTTGAGCAAAGTTGACTTAGCCCCCTAATATGAAAGGATAAAATCTACCTTACAGTGGCTTTATTATAATTAAACAAGATAATGCATATTCAGTGATTAACAGGCACTGTAGCTGTTGTTTTTATTACTGTTATTTTCACAGTTATTTATTTTGTCATGGTATATAAGAAGTAAAAGAAGATGAATTAAAACTCAATTCTATTTGGCTTCTAAGTCCCTATTCTTAATTGGTCCACTAACCTGCCCATTTTTATAGCACTTTATTATCCTGTTCATTGCTGTCACCTAATGGTCTGATGTGTGTGTGTGGGGTGCTTGGCCTAGGTACTTTGACTACTATCGGCTGCACAAGTCCTATGATGACCTGGTGATGCTAAAGAACTATGAGCAGTGGAAGATGGGCTATGGTGATGGCAGTGGCAATACTGTGTACAAGAACTTCATGTACTTTAACTACTATGGCACGAGTGACATAGCCAAAGTGGACCTTTCCTCCAACACCCTCGTGCTGCAGCGCCCATTGCCTGGTGCTACCTACAATAACCGCTTTTCCTATGCTAGCGTGCCTTGGAAGGACTTAGATTTTGCTGGTGATGAGAAGGGGCTGTGGGTGCTCTATGCCACTGAGGAGAGCAAGGGCAACCTGGTTGTGAGTCGTCTCAATGCCAGCACCCTAGAAGTAGAGGAATCCTGGCGCACCAGCCAGTACAAGCCAGCCCTGTAAGGGGGCCTTCATGGCCTGTGGTGTTCTCTATGCCTTACGCTCACTGAGCACTCGCCAAGAGGAGATCTTTTATGCTTTTGATACCACCAATGGGCAGGAGCGCCACCTCAGCATCCTGTTGGACAAGATGCTGGAAACGCTGCATGGCATCAATTACTCCCCCTCGGACCACAGGCTCTATGTCTACAATGATGGTTACCTAATGTATTATGACCTCACCTTCCTGACACTGAAGCCCACACTATCTAGACCAGCTGCCAAAAGGCCCTCTGGGGATCGTGCTCCACCCAGAGTTGTCAAATCCAAGCCTTCTGGGTCCTGAGACCTCAGACTAGACAGGGCATTGGAAGAAGTGTATCCTTTTTCTCACCTCTAGAAGGACCACCCTCCAAAATGGTCATAGACTCTAAGTGATTAAGAAACCTGATTCTATGTAGCTAATTCTTTATGTAATTCATATTTCAATCAATACATTAAGGTTCCATTTAATAATAGTCTTTGAAGTTTTGCTTGAGAAACAAGTAGTAGAGAATATATTTAGCAGGCACCGGACCCTGGGTTCAATCTCAGTCATGATGGTGAGAGAGAAATAGTCTTTTCAATCCCTAGCACGTGAGTACACACACACACACACACACACACACTCACACACACACACACACACACTTAGCTAGGAAAATGATACCCACTCATTCTGATAGTTTGGTATCTCTTGTTCTGTGTTTTAAAACTCTGAACCCAGCTCCTAAAAATTCTAGGTTATGTGACTTCGAATTCCCAGTGTCAGTTGAGAACATCTGAATCCAGTGTAGAAGATCTATGGAAGCTGGTCATTAGAGTAGGATATTGAAGTTACCACTCTTATCCTTTTTGTGGTTCCTAGGGAGAAATGAGGCAGGGTCTTGGTCTTGAAGACTAATATTTTTTAGTGTCATAAATCAATCTCACTTCTACATATATAGCTGAAAAAGAGGCTTAAGCCTGGGTCCCACTCTAGGAAGTTAACAATTGGAAAACTGTACTGGATCTGACATGGATTAGGCTGTGGGTCCAGACATTCTCAATAAAGAATTCTAGGTGTGACTGCAGGAAGTCTCCTAGCCAATAAACTGAATTGTTTTGCTTGTCTTTGTTACAAGTGAGAACATATGGACTTGGACTCTTTGCATTTCCCTTACCCATCTGCATAGTGCTCCACCTTCTCCAGGCAGGTGGATGGAATGCTTAAGGATTCAGACCCTGAAGTCTTCCCAGTCACACAAAGTATGAATTCACTTTCACACCACATATATCCACAAATATACATCCAGTAAGACATACGAGTCTCACTCTTTTATGTACAATAACTCCATCTATACCCAAACATCAACATAGACATTTTAGCATATCCACTAATAGTTAATTCATCAACTACCCAAATAAAAATCAAACACTATCTCCAAAATTGAGAATCTGACTTTTCAGTTGCCTGAACCTGTCTGTCCTCATAGGAATTATACTAGCGACCACTTCCACTCTCACCTTTTGATTTCAGATGTCTCTCCCCCTTAATGCTTTGTCACAAAGATAAGCATTTAAAATCAAACAAGGCCCTTGAAATAAATCATCCTAAAAGTTCTGTTATGATGGTATGTAAAAAAAAGCCACCTATGAACTATGTGAAGAAATCTTGTGCTGCAAGTGGTGGTCCACTCACCTTTAGCTTGCAATACTCCTATAGCGAGCTACCCGGGTAGCATTATTCCTGCTTCTTAGAGAAGAGGAAAGGTTTTACCCACCAAATGAGACACTCTGGAGTTTAGAATAGCAAAATCTGGACCCCAGAGAAGAACATGATCGCCTTTTCCATATAATATCTTTGTTCTTGTCCTAGTTTCTTTTCTAAGGCCCACCTTTTGCAGACCACTAGTAAAATTAACAAGTTCCTTCTGGTGGCATAGTCTCCATTCTTGTTTTTAGGAATGTGATTTTGTCAATGGCTTCAGTAGATCCCATATTTTATATGACACTCCTGATGTTTTTACAAAGGACCTATATGTAATGCCACACATGAAACACACATCACACACACAAAACATCTGTGTATATGTATGTTTTTTTTAAATCTTTTTTTGTTGGGGAATTTTGTCTTTGTTCTTCTGGAAAATTGTCTTATTTTATAATAGAGATTTGGACCCTATCCCCAAATACATCCATTTTCCCCAGCTAGTCCTTGACATACTATGAGGCTCAAGTTGACATCACAATATCCCTTTTCTGAGGAGGAGGTCATGGCCTTTGTGGGTGGGGCAGGAGGAGGGGCAACTATGAGGGGAGTTATCACCACTTAGTCCACCTTGTGCCAATATGAATTAATAGCCACACCAGGCCTCAGCTGGGCCACATCTGGAGATCTGGGGTGAGGGTACAACATCAAAAATACTGGTCTCAGTCCAGTCACTCATCTATTTTTGGACAGCAAGAAAGCTAGCCTGTGGCTTGAGAACAGAACACCCACAGCGAAGGCCAGCAGAAACATTTGCCTGCCCTCACCCCTCTGCCCCTGCTTCTACTCACTCCCCATCTGCCCACCCACTAAGTTCCATGACGCATGTCATCTCTCGAACACCCAAAATGCCCCATAGAGGGCGTTCTTCAGGTCTGCCTGCAGACAGGACCATCTCCAGTGTTACTCGAGTGATAGTGAAGACACCAGGCAACCTGAAAGACTTTATAGTAGCTGATGACACCTCAGTGAGGCAGTTCAAGGAGAAGCTATCGGCTCACTTCAAATGTCAAATGGATCAACTAGTGCTGGTCTTCATGGGCCGCCTTCTCAAAGACCATGACACACTGAGCCAGAGGGGCATCGTAGATGGCCACACCATCCATCTGGTTATCAAGTCCAAGCACGGTTCCAGATCCCTGGCCCATTCCTCCAGGAACCTGCCAGTCAACGAGCCCTGCCATGGGGGACAGAAACACCAAAGGAAATAGCAGTGGGGTATGCAAATCTGCCAGCATGAGTCAAACACCCACGGAATCAGACCTCTTTGTGAAGACTGATGCACCCAAAGTGCGTACTCAGGACTTGAAAGTAGACACTTCAGAGTGTATAGCACGGATACTGGAGAATCCTAATATCCAGCAGCTTCAGTCCAATATGGAGTATATTCGGCAGTTCATCTCTGAACACCCAGACATGGAACAATTGATGCAGCAGAATCCAGAAGTCTCCCATCTCCTTGACAATTCGGAGATCCTATATCAGACTCTGGAGTTAGCCAGGAATCTTGCCATCATTCAAGAGATAATGCAGACCCAGCAGCCTGCACAGAACCCCGAGCATCCACTGAATACACTGGGTTTTGAGACAGTTCCAGGTGGGAATAATGCCTTGAGTCAGAGCTACACTGATTTCAATGACCGAATGCTCAACAATTCGAAAGATCCTTTTGGGGGCAACCCTTTCACAGCTCTCCTGGCAGGACAAGCACCAGAACAGCTACAGACTTCACCCACAATTCCACCACCATCTCAGGAATGGCGTGACCAGTTCCCACAGCTCCCTACAACCAAAGTCATCTATACTAGTTCCCGTGGTTTTTCCTCCATCTCAACCAATGGCATCTCAACCAATGCCACCCCAAACAGAGTCAACCATACTTCCACGATCTCGACCAACGACCAAAGCCCTGTCCATGATACTGAGATAGCAGCCTTGCCTAGTAAAGAAGTTATCCAAAAGTCTCAAGAGGAAGACCAGGATGCCACTATCTCTATAGATAGTCCTGAACAGAAGTTGGAGGAAGATCCCCAGTTGTCAGATGAGCAGAATAGTTCTCAGATCGCAGGAGGCATGATGCAGTTACTTATGAATAATCCCCACCTGGCAGCTCAGATGGTGTTCATGGGTATGCCCCAGCTGAATGACCAGTGGAAACAGCAGCTGCCCACATTCCTGCAGCAGTCACAACTCTCTGACTTTCTTTTAGCCCTTACTAACCCTAAAGCGTCACAAGCAATATTGCAGATCGAGCAGGGACTCCAGCTGTTGGCCACAGAGGCTCCTGTTCTTCTGCCCTGGGTTGCACCTTACTCATGGGGCCTAGGTTGTCTTTCTGCCCCCAACTGCAACTATCCTGACCCAGTGCACTGGGCCTGGAATATACCCGAGTCCAAGAGATCCGAGTGCTGCCACGTACCTGGAACAATCCTGCAGAAGCTACAATCCCTAGCTGGAGATCCTTCCCACTTTCTACAAGCCCTTGAGATTCGTTTCAGCAAGCAGATGGAATCTCTTCAGGCCATGGGATTTGGGAATCACCATGCCAATCTACAGGCACTCATTGCTACTGAAGGGGATACCAATGCGGCTATTCGCAAGCTCATGAGATCCCAGGGATTCTAAATACCATATCTACCTGTCTGCTTTCTACCTGTCTGCTGACTCATGATCACCTCATCTGCCTTTTTTTTTTTCTTTTTTAAAAAAACCTCTTCTGATGCTTCCAACCAGGAGTAGTCCTGGAAAAGGAGAAAGCAACCAATGCTTTCTTTACTGAATATTAGACCATTGGTGATGGCTGCAAGATCTGTCAATAAAATGGCTGCACCTACATGCCCTCATCTGAGGTTTGGTTTTGTTTATTTTGCAGAAAAGTGACTAAATATATTTGATATCCCTGTCTTTCCTCACATACGCGCGCATGTGCGTGCACACGCACGCACCCCACATGCACATATTAATAAAGATCTGAAAAGAACCACAGTTGCACCTATGCTCAAATAACCAAAACATGCATATATAGCCTAACACAGGTGCAAACACACACAGATACACATAGATACCTAGAGACATGTAAAGAGACCCACATGTAGGGGAAGAGAAACATGAAATGCTCATACAGAAAGGGAAAACTTACATAGACCCAGATACTTATCCATAAAAACTGATATTTAGTAATACATTAAAAAAATCTACATTGTTCATTTTTGCAAATGAAAGAATGGCCTGACAGGTCAATGTAGGAAGAATTTACATATTGGCCAGGCCTGGATGAGTACTTAAAATTGTGGCCTCTAACTAACTGCCAGTGATAGAACTTGGATGGGTTGTTGCTATTGTTTCTTTAGCACACACAGGTGCAACTGCTGCCATTTTCATGGAATACAGTCACTAAACCCAGTCTTTTATGGGATGCAGCATCATCCAGGATGTTCACACCCTCCAGTATATCGTTTGTACCTTGTGCTTCCCTCAGTTGTTGAAGGCTCACTTTCCCTTCCTGTCTCACCTGGGATGTTCCAGATTGGCAGGATATGCAACCAACTCTGGTTCAATTATTCAATTATTCTATAAGTTAATAAGCTTTTAATTTAGTAAGTCAACATGGTTTTAGGCATTGGACAAACAGCAGTGACATAACAAAAGATCATTTGTGGAGCTTACTTTCTTTTGTGAAGATACAGACAATAAATATCAAGATTATTTTATAAGTGTATTAAGTTGTGGAAAGTGCTACAAAGAAAAATGAACTAAAGTCAGTCATTGTGTTGTGTACCTATAATCCCAGCGGCTGGGATTATCGTATTCAATTTTTCCCCTCATCACCAATTCTATAAAGATTTTCACATTTCAACTGCACTCTATAATTCAGACCTTTGCAACAGAAAACCACTCATGTGTGCAACGTTCTTTCTAAAGGTTTTCTTATCTTTTTGCTATAACATGTCTGTCCAGTGCCTTGACAGCTTAGCAATGGCAAGACACTAAGCAACTCAGTGAGAACCCTGTGTCTTAATAAAATACAAAATAGGGCTGGGGATGTGGCTCAGTGGTCAAGTGCCCCTGAGTTATATCCCTGGTAGTCCCCCCTGCTTCCCCCAAAAAAGAAAGAAAAAGAAATGAAAAATGAATTAGGATTATCTACCCTAAACAGAGTAATCAGGAAAGGCTGATCTGAGATGATGACATTCAGATTGAAGGAAATGGAAACAAGATGCAATTCCCAGGAGAAGAATGATCCAAGGAGAGAAGGTTGTATGAAAATAAAAGCATTGACATAGGGTATTCCTGTTGTGCTTGAAGAATAATAAGGAGGTTTATGCAGCAAGGCAAGGCGGGGTGAACAAAAAACCCACCTACCCAACCAACCAAACAAACCAAAAACCCCAGGGGACAGGGTCACAAGTATTGTGAAAATCTTTGAAGAACTGGTGAGCATTTTGCATTTTATTTACCATGAATGTAATAAAAGCCACTGGTGGGCACATTTATTAATTGTAGACATTAAAATATATCACAAGATTCCCCCCAAATGAAATTTAAACCCAAGTGTTAATTATTCTCCACTGTGATTCCTTCAATCACACTCTGATTGTGCCAGAGATTTCTCATTTTTCATCTTAATTTTCATAGAAACCAACACTGTTTTTCTTTAACATGCTTCTTTGATGATCTGAATATCTTTTGATTTGGATTAAAGTTCTGGCATACTTTTCGAGTCTAATAGATAATTTTATTTATAATTGCTTCTCTGTTGTATTTTAAAAGAAGAATGAAATGAGCAAGTTGTGAAATAAAGTTGTGTCTTAAAATTGTAAATGTCACAAAGAATGCATTCTAAAAAAAGAGAAGTTGCTATTGAGTTTTTGAGCAAAGGGAAGGTACCGTCATACAATGCATCTGTCTGGCTGCTGAGTCGAGGATAGACTGTTACAGGAAAACTAGGGAAGCAAGGAATCCAAGTAGGGGGCTTTTGCAATAGAGTAGGTAAGAGATAATATTGTCTTGGGCTAGGGTGGGAACTAGCAGAGACAGTGAGAATATAGATAGATCCTGAACTCTAAGTGGACTCAGAGATTTGTGGGATTCTCACAAATTATCTCTCCCTAGCCTTGACAGTACCATCTGTGAGAATGAAGGACAGGCCGACAAAGTTCCCAGTGTGTCTGGCAAGTGCACTACAAAAAACTATACTTTACTACTGTCTACCAAAAAAGCTAAGTTTTGAGAAAGAAATGTTACCTAACATGGATTTTATTTCTCTATTAAGATACCTCTTTTAATCTGTTTGTCTTCATTTATTTTAAAAAAGCCTAGGCCTAGGGATATAGCTCAGTTGGTAGAGTACTTTCCTCGCATGCACAAGGTCCTGGGTTCAATCACCAGCACCACCAAAAAAAAAAAAAAAAAAAAAAGTCCAAGCTCCCAAGTCATCTTTCTAATTTCATCCCAATATGCTATGAAAAAAATTCCTTATCATATTCAATTTTCCCCTAATCATCAATTCTCTAAAAATTTCCACACTTCAATTGCACTCTGTAATTTAGACCTTTGCAACAGAAAAACACTCATGTGTGCAACTTTCTTTCTAAAGGTTCCCTTATCTTTTTGCTATGTCTGTCCACTGAAATTACTGCTTCTCCAGAGGAAAACTAGGAAAGCTAGTACTTAGGGTAATATACTTAGGGTAATGATGTCCATCACCTACTTCTTTCATTCTCAATGGACCTAGAATTGGGCAGGGTCATTCCTGCACTTATTACTGCTTCTTCACCTTAATTCTCTAGCTTCAAGACTACACAGTCCATCAGTATGACCATTCTGGCATAGTAATCACCTATTAAACTCATACTTAGCCTAATCTCTGTATAGGTAGAGAAAGGAACACAACCTTGTTGACAAGTTAGATTTAAATTTATTGCCAAAGGACTTAATCTTAACTGATCATTTCCAGTCAATGATTCTCACTAGAATCTGCATCTGAATCACCTGGTGGGTGTGTCAAAGCTTAGCTTTCTGAGCTACATTACAAGGATTTCTCCCCCACCCCACACCTTATTTATTTATTTATTTATTATTTGTACATAACAGGGGAATGCATTATAATTCTTATTACATATATAGAATATTTTTTCATATCTCTGTATACATAGTATACTCACACCGATTTGTATCTTCATACATGTATTTTGGATAGGACTAGAATGGGGCTCCACATTGTCCTTCCTAAATTTCCAAGTGCTGCTGGTCTGAAGACCACACATGGAGATCCATTTGCCTAGTCAATTCATTATCTTATCCTTTTAGATGCCTATTTCATATCTTTTCTGCTTTTCTCAAATCTTCAATGTCCGCTTATATTCCGAATCTCAGCTGATATTTTGCCTATTTTAACAAGAAGACAAAAGAGATCAACCAAAAGGCACTTCTACCATGTCCACTGCCAAATGACCAACTAACTTACACCTGTATCTTGCACATTCTGTCTCCTGTTCTGTTATCATGAATAAATTGTCCATGTCCCTAAACCAAACTCTATATGTGGATACTTTCTCTCCCAATTGCTGTAACCTATCTATTAAATGATTTACTCTTATGATTGCTTTCTTTTTCTCCTGCATTATTTTCCCTTCATTATTGGATGTTCCCATCAAAATAAAAACATCATGCACTATTCTTACCTTCAGGAAAATCAAAACAAGAAACACTAAAAAGCTTTTAAACCCCACATTCCCACTAGTCTTCATCCCCTTTGCTAATTTATAATACCCTTGTTGGATCTTCATTTGCTCCTAACCACAAGCTATCTGCCCCACCTCTGTTTTCAAAACTGATCTCATGTGGCCTTCAGCTTTTTTTTTTTTTTTTTTTTTTAAATCAGATTTAGTGATCAATTCTCAGTCCTCATCCTACTGAACTACCAGGATCATTTTGATATATTGAATTACTCTCTCCTCTTTGAAATTCTTCACTTGAAAATTCTTTATAATTTCTTAAAATTTCTTGGTTAGTTTTGGTTACACATGATAGTAGAATCCATTTTGATATAATTTTATGAACATGGAATATATCTTATTCTAGTTAAGAGTCCCATTCTTTTTTAAATTAATTTTTAAAATTTATATATGACAGAAGAATGCATTACAATTCTTATTACACATATAGAGCACATTTTTCATCTCTCTATAGAGAGATCTATAGATCTCTATAGAGAGATGAAAAATTGTATATACAAAGTATATTCACACCAATTTGTGTCTTCATACATGTACTTAGGGTGATGATGTCCATCACATTCCACCATCATTTCTAATCTCATGAACACTCACTTTCCCTCCCACCCCTCTGCCCTATCTAGAGTTTGTCTATTCCTCCCATGCTCTCTCTCCCTACCCCAGTATGAATCAGCCTCCTTATATCAGAGAAAATATTTGTCATTTGGCTTTTAGGGATTGGCTACCTTCACTTAGCAATTTCTTCTTTAACTCCATCCATTTACCTGCAAATGCCATGATTTTATTTTCTTTTATTGCTGAGTAATATTTCATTGTGTGTGTGTGTATATATATATATATATATATATATATATATATATATATATGCCACTTTTTTTATCCATTCATCTATTGAAGGGCATCTAGGTTGGTTCCACAGTTTAGCTATTGAAGAGCCCATTCTTATGGATGTACATGATGGTGGGATTCACTTTGTTGTTTTCATATATATATACATGGGAAAATTATGTCAGATTATCAGATTCATTCTTTCCTTTGCCTATTTTTCCTCCCTTCCCTCCCACATTACTGTTGTTTTCTTTCTTTCTTTCTTTCTTTCTTTCTTTCTTTCTTTCTTTCTTTCTTTCTTTCTTTCTTTCCTCTCCTTCTTCTCCTTCTTCTCCTTCTTCTTCTGAATTCTTCTGAATTCTTCTGAATTCTTCAGAATTCTGAATTGGTGTGGAGCCACAGGAATGCATTTTAAAAAATCTCTATAGTTTTTATTCTATAATCATTAACTAATTGGCTCTCTAAATGCTTATGAACTCTAGACTTAAAATATTTAGCTATCTTCCTACATCTCAATTTAGCTATAATAGAGACATAATATATATACATACACACATGCACACGTATGTTTTACAGCATGTTGCTTTTCTGCTTAACAGCATGCTTATTTTTATTTTATCTTAATAAATATCATTTGTTCTTGAGTTTCCCTGGGAGATATTAAAAAACAAAACAAAACAACAAAAACCTCAAGTCATCCTTGACACCTCTCTCATAATTCCAATTTTACCCATCAGCAAATCAATACTTTGAAAACATAGAAAGAATTCATGGTTAATACTGAATTAAACAGAAAACAGGGATATAAGATGCCAGGAAGAAGGCCTTTATATAGAAAGAAGCTGAATTTGGTTGAACTGAAGAAATTTGTACAATTGCCCAATCCCAGTTTGAGTTTCCATACAACACATATGAGATTGTGTGGAAGCAGGGCTCTTGGCCTGGGAGGGATTGATCAGTACAGGGACCTCACTATGAAAAGCACAAATGGGGTAAAGAAAATAAAAGAGGTAAGGAGGGTGTTAGAAGTTCCCAGGGATCGAGAGCACCTTGGAGGAATCTCCAGAATCCATTGTGTGAGGTTATGATGTCAGTCCTGAGGTCACAGAGGTGACCTGATGGAGTAGGTTCCGGCCCAGAAGGCCTCAGGGGTGGCTGTGAAGCAAGATGAGGGCGGTTTGGAGCCCTGCATAAGAAGGAGGACGGGGCCACAGATGATTGGTATGTATTCCCCAGACTGGGCCCTTCTTCCTATCTTCGCCCCATCATTCATCAACTGATGGCCTTTTCCCCAGGGCCCCAGATTTACCTTCCCTGATCCCAACATCTCTTAATCTCATATTCCTCCAAAAATGTCCACTCCCAGAGACTTCATGGCCCCTTCTATGTACACCCTGCAGCTTCCCCTTCCCTGAGGCCCAAGACCCTCTTCATCCTCACCTTTCCTACTTAACATCACTGCCTGAAAGGATGATCTTGGTCTTCCATCTCCATTCCCTCAGCTGTGTCCCCACAGACCTGGGACTCCTGCTGCCAACCATGGCCAAAAGTGGAGAGGCTCTGCCACAGGGCAGCCCAGCGCCAGTCCAGGACCCCCACCTCATCAAGGTGACAGTGAAGACGCCCAAGGACAAGGAGGATTTCTCAGTTACAGACACATGTACCATCCAGCAGTTGAAGGAAGAGATATCTCAGCGCTTTAAGGCCCACCCTGATCAGCTGGTCCTAATATTTGCTGGCAAAATCCTTAAGGACCCTGATTCATTGGCACAGTGTGGAGTACGAGATGGCCTCACCGTTCACCTGGTCATCAAGATGCAGCGCCGTGCCATGGGCCCTGAGTGCCCAGCTGCCTCAGTCCCTTCTCCAGGCCCAAGTCATGGATCACTCCCTCAGCCAAGCTCCATTTATCCCACAGATGGGCCACCCACCTTCAGTTTAGGTGTCCTCGCAGGCCTCAATGGGCTGGGTCTGACCTCTGGTAGCTTCCCTGACCAGCCAAACTCACTGATGTGGCAGCATGTATCAGTGCCTGAATTTGTGGCTCAGCTAATTGATGACCCCTTCATCCAGGGTCTGCTGTCCAATACGGGCCTGGTGCCCCAGCTGGTTCTTGACAATCCTCATATACAGCAGCTAATCCAGCACAACCCTGAGATTGGGCATATTCTCAACAACCCTGAAATCATGCGGCAGACGCTGGAGTTTCTACGTAACCCTGCCATGATGCAAGAGATGATGCGTAGCCAGGATAGGGCTCTCAGTAACCTGGAGAGCATCCCTGGTGGCTACAATGTGCTTCGCACCGTGTACACAGATATTATGGACCCAATGCTTAATGCGGTACAGGAGCAGTTTGGTGGAAACCCTTTTGCCACAACCACAACTACTAATTCCACCAGCAGCAGCAACCAACCTTCAAGGACAGAGAATTGTGACCCTCTCCCCAACCCCTGGACTTCCACATATGGAGGTTCAGGGGCCAGGCGAGGAAGGCAGTCTGGGGATCAGGATGCATCTGAAATTAGAAGTAGGGTCCCAAACTTTCTGGGTAACATAGGACTCTATGATTATCTCCAGCAATTACATGAGACCCCCCAGTCCCTGGGAACATATCTTCAGGGAACTGCATCCACTCTAAGCCCAAGGCAGGAACCTCCATCACCAGGAAACAGAATTCCCCCAACTTCATCCTCATCCCAGGAACCTGGATCAGGACAGCCTCTCCCCAAGCAGTCAGTAACAATCAAGGGAAAGTCCTCCTGTCCAGCTTTCCTGAGATATCCCTCAGAGAGTAGTACTGGACAAGGTAGAGGCCAAGACGGTACAGGGAAGGATTCTACTAACCACAACACCAGCATGCCTGATCTTGTGTCTGGGCTTGGCGATTCTGCCAACAGGGCTCCATTTGGTCCTTCACCACCTTCCCCTATGACAACCACTGCTGGAGTCCCTGAGCCTCCTTGGATGCCACCACCAGGATATCCAAGATTTCTGAGGCCTGCTGGCTTGAATCATGCCCCCCATTTGCAGGATGAGATACATCAGCAGCTACCTTTATTGCTGCATCTTCAGGCAGCCATGGCCAACCCTCGTGCCATGCAAGCCCTGCTGCAGATTGAGCAAGGTCTGCAGATCCTGGCAACTGAAGCACCTCGTCTCCTGCTCTGGTTCATGCCTTGCCTAGCGGGGCTGGGCGGTATGGCAGGAGGGACAGAGTCTAGAGAAGGTGGCTTTATGTCTGAGGATCCCCGCCCAGCTCCAGCCCCTCAGGTTTCCCCAGCACAGGGTTCTTCAGAATTAGGCTTCCATTCCACTCCCTTTCTCCAGATGTTGCAAGCCTTAGCTAATGCCAGTCCCCAACAGCTACAGCCTGAGGCTCACTTCCGGGCACAACTGGAGCAACTTCGGGCCATGGGCTTTCTGAACCCTGAAGCCAATCTTCAGGCCCTCATTGCCACAGGGGGTGATGTAGATGCTGCTGTGGAAAAGCTGAGGCAGTCGTAGCAGCTTTAGTTGTTCAGACCATATCTTTTCCTCTGTGCCTTTTCCCCATATCCTATTACCCTAGCTCTCCCATTCTTGAATACAACTGCAATATAAACCAAATTTACTATGATGCCCTTTACTGTGGAGACATTGTTGTTCCAGAGTTGATGGAAGAATAAGAGCCAGAAATAGGGTGGGGGAAATGTGTGTGATCCAGCTACCCCCAACACTGGACTACCATGGGGCCCCCATCTGAGCTCGGTGTATGCCTGTCTTGAGATGCAATTACATCCAATCTCCAGTGTTAGCCACCGTTTGAGTCTGATTCTTGTGGGAGATGAAAACAGGGGAGAATATGGGAGAAAAGCTAGCAATAAGTGCTATCTCTATGAATGGAAGGACTTAGAGAGGAAAGAAAGCACAACGTTTGGATTTAGAAGAGTCAGGCATGGCATGGAGTCAGAGGAGGGAATATTACTGCAGCCCTATGAAGACTGAGTTCTGAGACTTTCCTGGTATCTTTCCAGAAGCCTTACAGATTATATGTCCTGTAGTAGCTGCCATCGAGTTACCTGCATTTTAGGGCTCCCTACCACCACCTGGCTGAAGAATCAACATGGTTTGTTCCCAGTCCCTGAAGACTATCCCCCAGATGGCTGGCTGTCATTTTCAGGAGTTAATTCTGATCCCTGAGTGCATAGACGTAGAGCATGAGGAATCAGGCTGAATTCTCTAGTGAATCTCAACTAGTTTATAATGTCCCTTGCAGTCAGATTCAGAGACTTGATTTCTTGCCAAAAAAAAAAAAAAATCTAATACATACCCTGTGCATAGTATCTGCTAGCTGTTAGGAATTCACTGTGCATAAAAGGGACACAATCCTGCCCTCATGAGTTTATGAGATTGTGGCAGGAGCTGTTCTAACTGAATATATGAATACTCATTATTCATCATTATGGATTTTGACAAGGGGCTGTGAAATAGCATTGATGGACTTGTTGTTAGTTTAGTCTGGGGGCTACACTGAGTGTATACTCAGGGCTAACCCTTGACAAGTGGTAAGGGGGAAGTAGGAAAACTTGGAAGGGGGACTGAAGAGAAGAACCATATGTATAAAGGCACTAAGTAGGAGGTACATAACACAGGAGGTGCCTCTGGCACCTAAATTATTTTTCATATTCAGAAATATTTCCCATTGCCCATGTACTTCTATGTTAAAGTATTATAACTCCTAAAACAATCAAGGGAACAATGTTTTCCACATAATATGCCAGAGAACACAAATTACTAAGAAATGCACAAATGTGCTTTTTTAAAAAAGAGTATTATATCTCTTTAAATATGTTTTCATATGAGCATATTTTATACACACATTTACACACATGTATAAGAAAAAAACCCCAGAGTCTGATAGATTTAAAACAGAGTGTAAGAATAAGAAGTATTCATGCTGTGTTATAGAAGAAAAAGGGTCCTTGATGCGAGGGTACCATTATAGTAAAAGTGTCTGGGGGTATGTTTAAGTATCAGAGTCCCATTGTGTCACCCTTCCATAAGCTGAAGAGAGCAATCTCCCCTTGGAGCCCAGGGTATTTAGACAAGCCTGTCTACCTTTGAGATTCTGGCATGTGGCTTAAAGGAAATGAGACAAACTTTTGGGACAAATTTATCCCAGTGACTTAGGTTTCAATCTCTTGGTGAGGCATGAATCTTTAAGGTCTCTATTTCTTACTCTGCTCCCCATCAAAGTGGAAATTCTTGTCCTAATCAAAAGCACTGATTCTTGGGGAAAAGAAGAGGAAAGCCTTCTTTTTCATCTGGGGCTGTGTCTAAATGGGGAAGATGTACAATGCCACCCATACTTTTCATCATTTGGAGAGGGCCAAGTAGATCTGAGAAACTTCATGGAAAGAAATTTTATTGTTCTTACCTGACTTCCATTTGGGCCAGCAACCTGAAGTCTCATACGACCTTAAACTCAGCTTTCCAGGATGGTCTGCAGGTAGGCTAGGTCTGAAAGACCTGGCAGGGAGGAGAGTGTTATTTTAGTAGATTTTTCTCTTGTTATATCCTCTTTAAAAATACTAACACATATTAAGTGTACATATTAATGGGGTTCAGTGAAATATTTCCATACCTGAAAACAGTGTGAGCTGATCAAATCCAACCATCCTTTTTTGCTCCCCTTGTCCCCACAGACATCCATGTGGTTGGGGAGATTGGGTAAATAGGACCAGAATTTGTGGCTGGAAGAATAAAGACTGTTGGAATTTTGAGGAGAAGGGATCCCTGCATGCTGATATCACTCAAAGTGCCGGTCACCTGGGACTTGTGCCGGTCACCTGGGACTTCTCATCTGTTGTTCCTGCTCTAACTCTAGCACTCTGTCGGCAGAAGTCTAAGACCAAGTATCTGTTCTTGGCATGGGAGTTGTGTAGGTGGAGAAGACAGTCTCAGAGAGCTTTGGTCATACTGGGCATAGTGCCTGGCTCCTTCCAAAGAAATCTTACCCTTTTTCTGACCAAGAAATTTGCTAGAAAGCAAACACACAAACGTGTGCACATGTGCATGCATACACACACACAAACACACAAACACACAAACACACACACACACCAAAGAGACTGATTCAATCTACATTGTTAATCTGCATCACAAGTAGCTAGAGAGGTAGACTGCAGTTTAAGAGGAAGGTATTATTCAGATAATGGGAAATGTGTGTATGCATTCATATTCTTTCCTTTTAAAACATGTTCTAATATTTCCATCATAAATATGTACACATATTTTCTAGATGTTTTAAGTTCTTACTACTTAAGTTGTATTTTAATAGCAGCTAGCAGATATTTAGAGTTTATTGTATGTCAGGCCCTATTAAACTCTCTAAGTCAGATTTCATATAACAGTCCTTTAGTGCAGTTAATATTATTATGCCCAATTTACAAAGAGGAAAGCTGAGGAATATGATGAAGGGAAATACTTTGCTTAAATTTATAAAAATTTTTCATATTAGAGCCAGGACTTAAAATTTCCAAAGCTTATGTTGTTTACAGTGGTACCAAAACAAATTAGTCTGTGCTTTAATCCATATTCCCCCAAAAGTGGATCAGGAGAGGATTTGTAGCATTTAATTGAAATTTTTGGACACTTGACTCCTGCAAATACCATATCCTACATATGTATGTATGTGTATTTCTGCTTCTTTGCTTTTTATTTTATCTATTAGTACTATACTTCAATTATTTTAACATTAAAATATTTAATTTACAAAGGCCCAGTGCTTAAGTCATTATTCTTCTGTGAAATACCATTGATTAATTTTGTCTTTATTTTTCCAAATTTTCTTTATAGCAGATATCAGATTTCAGAAAAGCTCAAATGAGCTTTTGATTGGCTTTCCTACACATATAAATTAGAAGAAAATTGAGAAATTTACAATAGACAGTCTTTCCTCTCAGAGTAGAGAATGTTTCCATCAATTCAGGTTTTATTTGTCCTCTATAAAGCATTGTAGCTTCTTCATTGAATTCTGACATATTTGGGTTTATTTAAGCACACATTATAATTCTTATTTTGAGTAGAGTTTTTTTCCACTATGTATTCTGCATGGTATTACTGCTGTGGTGAAATTGTCCTGTCTCCAGTTACAGTATGAATTCTTTGTGTAGACAGACATTGTGCTGATTTTTATGCAAGTAATGAATGCATCTTTGATAAAGGTTTAGTCTCTACTCTTCTAATAATTTATTTATGTAAATGTCAATTGTAGATAAAATACATAAGTAAAATAAGATATTATAAAAAAATAATTTCACTACCAGACAGCACTATTAAAACAATGATGTTTGGCTTTCCACATAGTTTAATAAATCTGCCCTTTTAACTTGATAATGCATCATGAAACTTTCTAAGTTATTAAGCAGCCTTTTTCAATTTATTAATTATTTTCTGAATACTTTTTATATGCCATAAACTGTGCTTGGTGTTAGGAATACAATGGTAAGCAGAGAGATATTCTCTAAGAAATTTACAATTTAAGGGAATTGATAGACCTCAGAAGTAACAGTTAACTCTTATAGAGTGCTCACTTAAGAACTAGGCACTATTGTACCACCTTTACAATATTAACTCATTTAATTCTTATTGTAAGTCTATAAAGCAGGCACTATTATTATATGTATTTTACAGATGAGTAGCTAATGCAGGGCAAGGTCTAGACCACGATTACACAGCTAGTAACTGATGGAGCTGGAGTCAGGATTTGAGCCAATCTTTCTAGAGATTACTTTTTTTTTTTTTTTTTTTTTGAGACAGGGTCTTACTATGTTGCCCAGACTGGTCTCAAATTCCTCGGCTCAAGTGATCTTTTTGCTTCTGTCTCCCAAGTAGCTGGGGTTACAGGTGTGCACCACCATGCCTGGCTGAGATCCTACTCTTTTCTTTTGGGTACTGGGGATTGAGCTCAGAGTCACTCGACCACTAAGCCACATCCCCAGCCCTATTTTGTACTTTCTTCAGAGACAGGGTCTCACTGAGTTGTTTAGCACCTCACTTTTACTGAGGCTGGCTTTAAACTGGGGATCACCCTGCCTTAGCCTCCCAAGCACCCCCAGATTACAGGCATGCTTCATCGCACTTGGTTAGATCATACTCTTATTCCTTATTCTTTTTGATTTTCTATTACATAAAGAATTATTGAATTGCAATTAGGATAAATTTTGTGCAGAGAATAAAGCATTTTGCTACTGCATATAGTAAAAGGAGAGAGCTACACTTTTTAGAAGGGTGTTCAGAATGTCTTTCTGGAGGTATTTATGCCTAGACTTGAAGGGTCTGGGAAGGCAAGGCACTCGAAGAGCCAGGGGAAGCATGTTTCATACAAAAGAAAAGTATAAAAGGAATTGACTTCCTTAATAAGACTTCTATAGTGCAAGAATTAAAATTAAAATAAATGGGATGGATTCAAACTAAAAAGCTTCTTTTCAGCAAAAGAAACAATCAGTGAGGTGAATAGAGAGCCTACAACTTGGGACAAATTTTTACCACACGCACATCAGATAGAGCACTAATCTCTAGGGTATATAAAGAACTCAAAAATCTTAACACCAAAAAACCAAGTTACCCAATCAATAAATGGGCCAAGGACCTGAATAGAAACTTCTCAAAAGATGATATACAATCAATCAACAAATATATGAAAAAATATTCGACATCTCTAGCAATTAGAAAAATGCAAATCAAAACTACTCTAAGATTTCATCTCACTCTAGTCAGAATGGCAGCTATTAAAAATACAACAATAAGTATTGGCAAGGATGTGGGGGGAAAGGCACATTCATACATTGCTGGTAACTGCAAATTGGTGCAGCCAATATGGAAAGCAATATGGAGACTCCTTGGAAAACTTGGAATGGAACCACCATTTGACCCAGCTATCCCACTCCTTAGTCTATACCCAAAGGACTTAAAAACAGCATATAATCAATGTTTATAGCAGCACAATTCACAATAGCTAAACTGTGGAATCAACTTAGATGCCCTTCAATAGATGAATAGATTTAAAAAATGTGGTATATATACACAATGGAATACTATTCAGCATTAAAAGAGAATAAAATTTATGGCATTTGCAGGTAAATGGATAGAGTTGGAGAATATAATGCTAAGTGAAGTTAGCCAATCCCAAAAAACCAAATGCCGAAAGTTTTCTCTGATAT